TTTTTTTTTTTTTTTGAGACATAGTCTCACTTTGTCTCACCCTCAACAAGAAAACCAAACCCTCACCCTCGGTAGAGTGCTGTAGCATCACAGCTCACAGGAACCTCAAACTCTTAGGCTTAAGCCATTCTCTTGCCTCAGCCTCCCAAGTAGCTGGGACTATAGGCGTGCACCACAACACCTGGCTGTTTTTTGTTGTTGCAGTTGTCATTGCCCTTTTACCTGGCCAGGGTTGGGTTTGAACCCACCACCCTTGGTATATAGGGCCAGTGCCCTACCCACTGAGCCACAGGAGCTGCCCATTAAGTGGCCTTTTAAAAGGCCCTTAGAGAAAGTGAGCAGATGATGTTAGTTCAGCCTGTGACCTAGCTGCTAGTTACCTTTTCCTTCCTAGCAGCTGGAATTGATGGAAAGGAAGGGTGGGCAGTCAGTTCTCTAGTAGTGTGAAAGAACATCTAAGCAAGTCCTCACCCACCTCCCCCTTTTGATTTCTGACTCCTTTTTGTCTCTTTTCTACTCCTAGTCCAGCCAGTGACCTTGGCTACCACCTCACTTTGATGAGGGGCCTTACCTGTGCATGCACCAAGCACAGACTCAGATTCAGATTAACCAGGCAGGTGGCATGGGTGTGTGGGCCCTTAGGGGTTTGTGCTCCCATGTATTCAAGAGCACCCCTAGGAGACTGTACATTGTGTGGTAATAAATAAAAAGCATCCAACACAGTACTTAGCTTGCTGGCACTTAAGGAATGTCAATTTTCTTGCCCTTGACCCCCCTGTCCTCACTTGGCAAAAGGAATAGGAATGCTATGTATCTCTTTTTGGAGACTCAAGTACCTGGGATCCCAAGTACATTAGGAGGGTCCCTTGAGGAGAGACACAATAAGAACTCCTTAAACTCCAGCAGGGAGGTGGCTTGCTGACTCTCTAGGAGAGCAGTGGATGTGGGAGGGAAAGGGTGGGGTGAGTGGAGAAGGCTCAGTGAGAATAAAAGGACAGGCAGGAAAAACTGGGCCAGTGCAGGCTTCTCTCACATATTTTTGCACCCTTTCAGATTAATCAGATTATTATTTTTTTATAGTTTGGGAAAAAAGTCCTCCTCAGATACACCCTTTACCCTGTTCTTAAATGGGATTCAGGTCTCTTTGATATATAATCTCCAGAGTCACTTAGTAAATAACTCTGTGTCTGCCCAGCCTGCAGGCGACTCCCCAAAGCAGAACTGGGGCTTCTATGGGGAGGGGCTGGGCACACCTCTGCCATGGAAAGGCTGCTTCAAGTTGGGGCAGGGCCTAGGGCTGTCCCTTGGACAGGCACATTCTGGTTCCATGGAACTCAAGAGTCTTGCCCTAAGAAGTCAAGGCAGAGATGCCCCTCCTCCATGGAGCCATGTCTGGCAATGGAGGCCAGTTGGTACTGTACCATGGGGGCAGGAGGGGCTCACCACAGCTAGCTCAGGCTTACCTAGGGCTTGGTTGATCCCATGATGCTTTGAGAGAGCCACAAGGAATCCATAGAAGGTCAGTCTCTGAACGTTGCTTAGGATTTCTTTGACAAGTGCTGGGGGTGGGCAGCTAGAAGGGAGAGTGAACAAAGGTGCCAGATTCAAAGACTAGCAAGCCTGAGGGCCATATTTTCATACATACCTTCAGGTCTAGGAGGATACCCAGAACCAAGACCAAGGGACCTGTCATGGATGCTGTAAGGCCTGGGGAGCATGGTAGATCTCTAGGAGTAAGGCCTTGACTGCCGACGGGAAGTGGCATGTTTGCTAGCAGGTGCTTTCAGCAGGGAGAAGCAGGAAGAGGGGAAGAGGAATGGCTACAGGTGACAATCTTTCTTTTTTTTAAGAGACAGAGTCTCACTTTATTGCCCTTGGTAGAGTGCTGTGGCATCACAGCTCACAACAACCTCCAACTCCTGGGCTTAGGCGATTCTCTTACCTCAGCCTCCCTAGTAGCTGGGACCACAGGCGCCCATCACAACGCCTGGCTATTGTTTTTGTTGCAGTTTGGCTGAGGCCAGGCTCGAACCCGCCACCCTCAGTATATGGGGCCAGTGCCCCACTCACTAAGCCACAGGCACTGCCCCTGACAATTTCTTTTTAGGTGAGCAAAACCAGTTGCTCTGTCCTTAAGGGTACTTTGTGCCACACAGGACACTTTAACTCTCTTTTGGTATAGGAAAGTTTTATAAAGTGAATGTTCTTTTTTTCTCCAAAAAGCCAAGGCCAATCTATCTTCTGGTAAGGTGGTTGTCAGCAGTTGGTCTTGCCCAAGTGAAAGCAATCCTTTCTTTTCTTTTTTTTTTCTGAGACAGAGCCTCAAGCTGTCACCCCGGGTAGAGTGCTGTGACATCACAGCTCATAGCAACCTCCAACTCCTGGGCTCAAGTGATTCTCTTGCCTCAGCCTCCCAAGTAGCTGGGACTACAGGCACCCGCTACAATGCCCGGCTATTTTTTGGTTGTAGTTGTCATTGGTGTTTGGTGGGCCTGGGCTGCATTTGAACCCGCCAGCTCTGGTGTATGTGGCTGAGGCCTTAGCCACTTGAGCTACAGGTGCCAAGCCTGTAGTTGTCACTATTGTTTGGCAGGCCCAGGCTGGATTTGAACCCATCAGATCTGGTGTATGTGGCTGGCACCTTAGCCGCTTGAACTATAGGCACTGAGCCAGCAATCCCTTCTAAGTGAGCTTTCCAGTCAACAAGCTGGTGTGGGGACAAATGGCACTCTGTTCTAATTAAATTGTGACCATCAAGTGCTCTGGAAGCCCTGGACCAGTCAGAACCTCTTGTTTGAGATCTGTTCCAAAGCCAGCAGCCTGCGGTCCCTGGGTCTGAGGAGGAGTCTGCACACCCATGCCTTACCTGTACTTGTGCCGGTCACACAGGTTTTCCAGGCACTGGTAGAAGAGTGACGCCTCCACTCCCTCCATGCTGGCCTCGCCCAGGGCAGGTCGCTGGCGATGTTGCCCACTGGATGATGTTGGCACAATTACTGTATTGGGGTTCTTGCCTGATAATAGGTCCTGATAGATGGTGGCCACACTGTCCAGGAATTCTGGTACCATGGGGGGAGGGACAGTTCAGGCAGGGTGAATGTGTTTTGTCTCTTCATGTATCCTCCCTTCTCTGCCTGTCAGCTCAGCTACATACCAGCCTCAGTGCTCAGGGCATGGTGTGCTGAGAGCCCGCAGCCTTGTTGGACCCCCACAGTCATAAGAGATGACATTAATGGCATTTCACTCAAGCATCCCATCCTTTAGGCAGTTGTTCCTAGACCAGGTGAGTGCCCCACCATGTGCTTTCATAGCATCCTAAGCACCACTTAGCCAACAACGAATTTTTTGTGTAATTATTTATTTAATCTGTCTTCTTGCTAGAACGTAAGATCCTTATACAAAGGCAGGGGTCATGCTTGTTGACCTCTCTTGCCCCAGCACGTAGCACTGTGCACGGCACACACTGAAAGCCATGAATGTTTTTTGAAAGAGTAAATGAGTGCATGCTCCCACTGGTAAGCTCCACCTTGTAAGACCAGCTGCCTAACTCAAGAAAGCATTCTGGGATACCAGTAAGAAAAGAGAAAGTGGGCAGTCTGCTGATTTATTAATCATTTGAAATTATTTTCAAGTTTTTGTAGTTGAGCCATCATTAGTAACCAGTGATGCATGGCTCGTCCCATCTCTGGCTGACACAGGTTGCTGTGCAATGTAATGAGACTGTTGGCTTAGTGCAGCTGTTGGGAGCACTGTGAGGAGACAGCCAGGGAAAGTAGCAAGGGGAGAATGTTCTCCCAGACATGGCTGTTCTTTCTAGGGCCCAAAAGCTTCTGCTAAGGAGCAGGTAATGCCTGCCTTAACAGCCCTGGGCTGCCATCAAGTGAACAGAGTGTGATGCCTAAGTGAGGCCAGGGCTGGCTGGGGGCACTAGTTGGCAGAAAGGCCGTCCCCAGCCTCCAAGGACAACAGCCTTCTGTTTCTAAACCCAACATTCCAACTGATGTCACTATGTGTGAGCAGGTGTGCATTTGTATTTATTAGTCTTTTTTTTTTTTTAGAGACAGTTTTACTTTATTGCCCTTGGTAGAGTGCTGTGCTGTCACAGCTCACAGTAACCTCCAACTCCTGGGTTTAGGTGATTCTCTTGCCTTAGCCTCCTCCCAAGTAGCTGGAACTATAGGTGCCCACCACAACGCCTAGCTATTTTTTTGTTGCAGTTTGGCTGGGGCCAGGTTTGAACTCGCCATCCTCGGTAGATGGGGCTGGCGCCCTGCTCATTGAGCCACCAGCACCGCCCCATTAGTCTATTTTTATTCCACCTGATTCCAGAGTGATAGCTGGTGTGAACTGGGAAGCAGGGCAGGAGTGTGAGCTAGCACTGGTGTGTACTTCTTAAAGCTGTGGGTGGGGAGGATGTGTGCCCAAGGAAAGACCTTTGATGGCAGTAACACAGAAGAGAGGCTTTGGGATCAGACTTCTCTGAAAGTCTGATCTCCACCATTTATTAGCTGTGTGACATTGGCTACTTACCTTTGTAAGCGTATCTTTCAAAGGGCCTATCTCTTAAGGTTGTCCTAAGGATTAAAGTCCTTAGTGCTACACCTAGGACATAGTTAGTGTCCAATAAGTAGTGAATTCTATCGATGTTGTTGTTACCGTCATTGCCACTTAAACTGATCTGCTGTGTGGCTGACTGGAAGCAGTGTGGTTTTCAATGTCTTCAGGAGGCAGAAGAAGTCAGCTCTGCAGACTGAATCTTGTGGCCACCATGTATAACTAGATATCCTGTTATTGACCCATGGTGAAGCATACCCTCAAAGGAAGTGGGGAAGAGAAACATGTGTGCCAGACACACAGATGGAAAAGGCAACAGGGTGGGACAGGGAGAGACATGGTCCTAGATAGCCCTGTGGCCCTGGAATATTCTCACCTGAGTAGTAAAACTGGATCTGGAAGGCAAAAAGGAAATCTGAAAAAGACATCAAGCAGTCCATGGCGTCATCCATGAGCACAATCCTGAAGTGGGGGGGAGAATAGAGAGAATGTAAGTGCAGGTGGGGGGAGGGTGGAACACATGTACCCCTGAGTCAGAACTATTCCAGGACCCCAGTTTCCCTTCGGGCAGCAAGACATTTAGGAGACTGCTCCCAAAAGCAAGTTCCTCCCAGTCACCTCACTTTTCCATCAATTGGACCTTGCCACCAAACTAAACTGACCACACTGTACCAGGAGCAGATTCCAAGTTCAGTCTTGGTGGCACTAGCTATTGGATGGAGCACTAGGATGGTGGGCAGCAAGGAGAGGGTGCAGTTATAATGTAGGCAAGGTTTCTTTCTTTCTTTCTTTTTTTTTTTTTTTTAAGAGACAGAGTATCACTTTTTGCCATCAGTAGAGGTATCACACAACTCACAGTAATCTCCAACTTCTGGGCTTAGGCAATTCTCTTGCCTCAGCCTCCCAAGCAGCTGGGACTACAGGCGCCTGCCACAACGCTCAGCTATTTTTTGTTGCAGTTTGGCTGGGCCTGGGTTTGAACCCACCACCCTTGGTATATGGGGCCGGTGCCCTAAAAGCTAAGCCACAGATGCTGCCTGCCAAAGTTTCTTTTTATATAGTGTACTTATGCAGTGAACCCTCTCATTCTGCAGTGAGGACCATTTGGTTCAGAGTAAATACAGCTGATCAGAAAAGGCAAAAAGAATAGTCAAGGAGTTTAAAGGGTTCTTGGCAACTGGTACTGAGATTTAATAAGCTACCAAAAGGCTAGAACACCCACAGGCACTTCGCCTTGGGACAGATGGCAGACAAGGGGAAAGGGCATAGAGTTATTGGGGACTCTGTACTTGACAGGGTCAAAGAACACATTCCATCTTGTGATGCCATGGCAGCCACTGCTCCTCCTTGCTGTCCACTTGCACAAGTTGGCCACCTTTGCTCTTTACTGTCTCTAGTTGCTCCCACCAGGCACCCACCTCACAGGAAGAAAACCATCTGACCAGCAAGGGAATTAGACAAAGGCCATGTCCGTACTCTGCTCAGGGCCTCATCGAGAGGACAGGAAGAGAAGGAAATCAGCACTAACTGGGCTCCATCCATGTGCCAGACAGGAGGCCAAACTCATCTATTGGGGTGGAGCTGGGCCCTCAATCTGTTCCTGATTGGGTCCTTTTGGCTCTGTCTTCCCTGTTGTTTAAATTGTTTTATTTTGCTCTCACATGTATTTTTCTAAATCTCTCTCCACTGTTCTGTAGTCAGAGGGTCCCCATATGGCAGCTACATCAGCCCCAGAGGCAGTCAGGATTGGTCCCCTCTGGGAGGGCTGTATAGAAAATACAAGTGCTGCTCCTGTCCTTGGAATTGTGTAAGGCACCTAGCCTGTTTCAGATCTCCCGAAAGAGAGAAAGTGGTTCCTATCTAGTCTTCAGTTGTAATAATGATAACTATAGAAATAGGTACCATTTACTGAGTACTTCATGCAAGGCACTGTACAAGGTACTTAACTATATTAATGAAATTTTATCCCACAACAATACTATCAGGTAGGTCTTATTATTTCCATTTTATTTATTTATTTTTTTTAGACAGAGCCTCAAGCTTTCCCCCTGGGTAGAGTGCTGTGGCATCACAGCTCACAGCAATCTCCAACTCTTCGGCTCAAGCGAGTCTACTGCCTCAGCCTCCCAAGTAGCTGGGACCACAGGCACCCGCCACCACACCCGGCTATTTTTTGGTTGCAGCCATCATTGTTGTTTGGCGGACCCAGGCTGGATTCGAACCCACCACCTTAGGTGTATGTGGCTAGCGCCTTAGCTGCTTGAGCCACAAGCGCCGAGCCTATTATTTCCATTTTATAGGTAAAGAGTCTTAAGTCTCAGAGAATTCAGTTTACCAAAGTCACATACAAAGCTGATGAATTTGCTGATTCTATAGGCCATGTATTTTCCATTAGGTCATCCTGATGTTCTTTCCTTTTCTTTCTCTTTCTCTCTTACTCTTTTTCTCCTTCCTTTCTTTCTCTCCTTCCCTCCCTTCCGCTGTTTATTTATCAACACAGTCTATGTTGCCTAGGCTGGAGTACAGTGGTGTGATCAGAGCTCGCCATGCCTCAAACTCCTTGGCTTAAGTGATCCTCCTGCCAAGTGAGCCTCCCAGGTACCTAGAACTACAGGTGCATATCATCACACCTGGTTAATTTAAACAGCCACACATGCCTGAGCTGGCGGGTTTGAATCTAGCCCAGGCCTACCAAACAACGACAGCTGCAACCAAAAAATAGCCGGGCGTTGTGGCGTGTGCCTGTAGTCCCAGCTATTTAGGAGGTGGAGGCAGGAGAATCGCTTAAGCCCAGGAGTTGGAGGTTGCTGTGAGCTGTG